AATCAATTTTTGCTTATGGTGATTTTGTTTTGGTGGTGATAGATGATTGATTGGATAGTAAGATAAAAACTATCTTTCTTTTTTGAAATTGTCTTGTAGCCGTCAAGAAAAAAAGCCCTCTCTCTCTGACGAAAAGCGACGGTCCATCTCAGGGAACAAGTGTTCCTCGACAGCTTAGTGGCACTGCTCGTCCTCAGAACATCTCAGGTGCTCTTCCCGATCTCAGCAGCACTTCTCGTGCTCAGAAAGAAATAAATTTTATCAAATTTTCTTGGTCATAAGAATTTAGACTCAGTAGTAATTATGGGTTTGTCTTTAGCTCTGATTTCGTCTACTCAATGGAAGAAGAAGTCGTCAAAGGGAATGAGCAGAGGAAGGAGAAGACAAAGAGGAGAAGATTTGGTCGCTCCTGAGATCCCTTTGGATCTCCAGATTGAGATTCTGACCAGATTGCCTGCTAGATCGCTGATGAGGTTCAAGTGCGTCTCCAAGCTATGGTCTTCTCTTATCCGTTCTCGATTCTTTAGCAACCGTTATCTTAAGGTCGCATCCCCACGACCGCGACCACCTCGTCTGTACATGAGTTTGGTGGAGCACCTCAAGTGTAATTCAATGGGGTGTAATTCAATGGAGATCTGCCAAAAACCCCGCGAGACTGTACTGCTATCATCATCGTCTACTAGTGCAAACTCTTTCGACCCGGCTCTGACAATGCCAGGGATAGGAGGCCGTAACATGGTGATTCTTCGCGGCTTGATTCTATATTTTGTTTGCAGACAAGCATGTATCTATAATCCCACCACCAGACAAAGCCTAACCTTACCCGCCGTCAAATCCAACCTCTTTGCGAAAGAATCATTTCGTCAGAGTGTACTCTACTTCTTGGGACATGATCCTGTTCTTGATCAATACAAAGTAGTCTGCACTGTTGTGAGATCCTCAAAACGTTATAAGAAGATAACTTCGGAGCATTGGGTCTTGGTACTGGAAGCCGGAGGTTCATGGAAAAGAATTGAGTTTGATAAACATCATCTTCCTACAAGACCAGGAGGAGTGTGCATCAATGGAGTTATATATTATATGGCTTCCACTGGCTTGTTTCCCCGAGCCATTGTCAGTTTTGACGTTAGATCTGAAGAGTTCAATATGTTCCAAGCACCTCGTGTGCTGCCTGAGTTAGGTTGGCCTGTGGGGTTTATAGAGTATGCTGGAAAACCAACTATTGTTGATCATAGCCTTCTTAACAGCTTAGGTTTGGTGGACTTATGGGTCCTTGAAGATGCTGGAAAATGGTCGACGAAATCTCTGGTTTTGAAGCTTTGTCAGATGCATTTAGTCGATAAAGACATTGATCTGACGGTGGAAGGTATTACTCAAAACGGTGAGGTTATCTTTGCACATAGACCGTTGATTTACCCTTCTTACATTCTCTACTATGATCTGCAAAAGAACGATCTAAGAAAGGTTAGAATCAGAGGTATACCGTTACACTGGTTTAATAAGCCTGATGCAAGCTTGTATTCTTTTTTCAAGCATATGGATAAGAGTGAAAGCATCATGCATTTGGAAATTTAATTGCCATTACTTGTTATTTTTTTCCTTCCAGCCTAAGATTATCATTATCTAATTGTTTTGCCTTCAATAATACAATGCAACTATTAATTTTATAATATCTTTGTTATGTTATCATGTTGCAAACAAACAATCGTTAATCAAATATTTCTTATTTCTTTTGTTTTAATACTTCTTCCGTTTTCTGTTAAATAATTTGTTAGACATAAATTTTTGTTCTAAAATAGATGATACTTTCAAATTTCAATGCAATATGTTGTATTGATTCATGACATGGTTGTACCCAAAGAAACAGAACATGTGATTAATGGGTTAGAACATCAGTCGGAGCATGTTGTCAAGTTTTCACATTGGGAAATCCGATGAGGCCATAGAGGAACGTTCAAGGCTATCAAAGGGGACTATCTATTACGTTGTAGGAGCACCTTCCCAACAATCCCATATGGTGGTGAAGTTATGTTGCTGAGTTTTGACTTCAGGTCCGAGAGGGTTTTTTTTTTTTGGTAAAAAGGTCCGAGAGATTTGATCATATTAATAGTCCTGAAGCTACAGTAACAAACCTGCATATCTATCTGGTAAACTTCAAAGGGAAGTTATGGTGCTCATGTTGCAGCAACGGTGCAGAGATGTGGGTTATGGAGAATGCTGAGAAACAATAGTGGTCGAATACTATTTTTTGCTTGCCTAATATCCCGCTCGAGGGGTTAAGGTGTCCTCGCTTTACGGGTGTCACTTTAGGTGGTGAGATCTTTATACTCCAACTTATATATGGCCCTAATGACCCTTTATATATATGACTACTATTATGATCCGGAACGACGCAGTTTTAGAAGAACTGAAATCGAAGCTACTACGCCTTGTAGCGATTCTATGCTAATAGTATGTGTTATCGATCATGTTGTGAATACAATGCGTTTGGAAATATCCATTTGATTCATTGTTCATATCAAGATGGTATAATACAACCCAGCCCCGGCTCAACATAAATCGAAACGAACCAAACTGAATACTCAAAGGCTCAAGAGTCTCAAAAGAATTCATGAGATCAAAGTTGCACAAGTAGTCATGATCCTACCCAAAAAAAAAAAAAATGTCGTCAGGTTAAGGGGGCTAGAGCCTTATCGACAATATAACGAGCGAATGTGTAGTATAGAATGAGATTCGTTTATACAAAATTACTGGTTTAGTATGACATTATTTTTGGTTAATAAATCATAAATATCAGTGTATATGTTCAGATTGCCTAGTAGGATTTGATTCGTGTTTTGGAAGTGCTTCTCAACTTGCATACATTAATAAATATATTTACTTAGACAAAATAAAATTTCAAACTTTCACCATTTGTGTATAAATCATAAATATATAGCTAAGCTAACTCATGAATTACAGATGAACGATTTGAGCAAGGCTGAAATCAAAGGATACCAGTCCAGACAACGGGTCTAGTAGCTCCTACTTTTGTTTGAAGCTTATGGATAAATGTGAAAGCATCATGCACTTGCAAACTTGAATACCATTATTTTTTCTTGTCCCCCTCATTCAAAGCTAAGATTATCATCTTATTATTGTTTTTGCTTATTTTTATGTAACTTTAATTTTACTTCTGCTGCAAAAAAAAAAAAAAAGAAAAAGAAAAAGCAATTGTTAAATGTTGTTGTTGACATAAAAGAAAGATTGCTATAAATAAAAGATTACCATAATCGAAACTAGCAAGCATCTTGACACCAACAACCAAGAAAAACCCTAGCTCGGACGTGCTATACATAGGTTAGAGGTTTAGTGCAAAGAAAAAAACCCTGACGTACGTTTTAGAAATAATTATAGAAAGAGTTGCAGCTTGGCAGCTCCTATACAGCATATGATGATTATGATTAAGGACTAGGGATTCATTAGAACATATAAGTTTCCGAAACAGATATGTCTAGAACTCTGTTTTCATCTTTCCCATGGAAGAAGAGGGCGATGATGAGAAGAGGAAGAAAAAGAAAGAGAAGACGAGAAGATTTGGTCGCTCCTGAAATTCCTTTGGATCTCCAGATCGAGATTCTGACTAGATTGCCTGCTAGATCGCTGATGAGGTTCAAGTGCGTCTCAAAGCTATGGTCTTCTCTTATCCGGTCTCGATTCTTTAGCAACCGTTATCATAAGGTCGCATCCACACGACCGCGACCACCTCGTCTATACATGAGTTTGGTGGACCACCTCAAGTGTAATTCAATGGAGATCTGCCAAAATCCCCGCGAGACGGTACTGCTATCATCATCGTCTAGTAGTGCAAACTCTTTCGACCAGGCTCTGACAATGCCAGGGATAGGAGGCCGTAACATGGTGATTCTTCGCGGCTTGATTCTATATTTTGTTTGCAGACAAGCATGTATCTATAATCCCACCACCAGACAAAGCCTAACCTTACCCGCCGTCAAATCCAACCTCTTTGCGAAAGAATCATTTCGTCAGAGTGTACTCTACTTCTTGGGACATGATCCTGTTCTTGATCAATACAAAGTAGTCTGCACTGTTGTGAGATCCTCAAAACGTTATAAGAAGATAACTTCGGAGCATTGGGTCTTGGTACTGGAAGCCGGAGGTTCATGGAAAAGAATTGAGTTTGATAAACATCATCTTCCTACAAGACCAGGAGTGTGCATCAATGGTGTTATATATTATATGGCTTCCACTGGCTTGTTTCCCCGAGCCATTGTCAGTTTTGACGTTAGATCTGAAGAGTTCAATATGTTCCAAGCACCTCGTGTGCTGCCTGAGTTAGGTTGGCCTGTGGCGTTTATAGAGTATGCTGGAAAACCAGCTATTATTGATCATACCCTTCTTAAATGCGAAGGTTTGGTGGACTTATGGGTACTTGAAGATGCTGGAAAATGGTCGACGAAATCTCTGGTTTTGAAGCCTTGTCAGATGCATTTAGTCGATAACAAGATTAATATGACGGTGGAAGGTATAACGCAAAACGGTGAGGTTATCTTTGCATACAGACCGTTGATTTATCCTTATTACATTCTCTACTATGATCTGCAAAAGAACGATCTAAGAAAGGTTAGAATCAGAGGTATACCGAAACACTGGTTTCGTAAGCCTGATGGTGATGCAAGATTTTTTTTCAAGCATATGGATAAGAGTGAAAGCATCATGCATTTGGAAATTTAATTGCCATTACTTGTTATTGTTTTCCTTCCAGCCTAAGATTATCATCATCTAATTGTTTTGCCTTCAATAAGACAATGCAACTATTAATTTTATAATATCTTTGTTATGTTATCATGTTGCAAACAAACAATCGTTAATCAAATATTTCTTATTTCTTTTGTTTTAATACTTCTTCCGTTTTCTGTTAAATAATTTGTTAGACATAAATTTTTGTTCTAAAATAGATGATATTTTCAAATTTCAATGCAATATGTTGTATTGATTCATGACATGGTTGTACCCAAAGAAACAGAACATGTGATTAATGGGTTAGAACATCAGTCGGAGCATGTTGTCAAGTTTTCACATTGGGAAATCCGATGAGGCCATAGAGGAACGTTCAAGGCTATCAAAGGGGACTATCTATTACGTTGTAGGAGCACCTTCCCAACAATCCCATATGGTGGTGAAGTTATGTTGCTGAGTTTTGACTTCAGGTCCGAGAGGTTTTTTTTTTATTGAGTTTTGATAATCTTAGCACATTCAAAGCTAAGATTATCATCTTATTATTGTTTTTGCTTCGAGTAATAACGATGCAACTATTTTTATGTAACTTTAATTTTACTTCTGCTGCGAAAAAAAGAAAAAAAAAAGAAGCAGTTGTTAAATGTTGTTCTTCTTTATTTTTTTAACTCATGAATTATTAGCATTCTCCAAAAATCCAAAACTAATCCAATCCGACTTGATGATATATATTAATATAAAAGGAAGACTGCTATAAATAAAAGATTACCATAATCGATTCGAGCAAGCTTCTTGACTGCAACAACCAAGAAAAACCCTAGCTCGGACGTGCTATACATAGGTTAGAGGTTTAGTGATTAAGAATTAGACATTTGTAGTAATTATTATGGTTGCGTCTATGCAACGGAAGAAGAAGAGGTCCTCAAAGGCAAAAATAAGAGGAAGAAGACGACGACAAAACGGAGAAGACTTTTTTGTCGCACCGGAGATCCCTTTGGATCTGCTGATCGAGATTCTGATTAGATTGCCTGCTAAATCGCTGTTGAGGTTCAAGTGCGTTTCGATGCTCTGGTCTTCTCTTATCCGTTCTCGATATTTTAGCAATCGTTATGATCTTACGGTTGCTTCTCCACTCCGACCACCTAATTTATACATGAGTTTGGTGGTACACCTCGTGTGTAATTCAATGGAGGTTTGCCACAACCCCCGTGAGACTTTACTGCTGTCATTGTCTAGTAGTAGTGCTGAGTCTTTCGACCAAGATTTGACAATTCCAGGGATGGGAGGACGCAACATGGTGGTTCTTCGTGGCTTGATTCTACACAATGTTTGCAGAAAGGCGTGTATCTACAATCCAACCACCAGACAGAGTGTAACCTTACCCGCCGTCAAATCCAACGTCTTTGCTCAAGAATCCTACCGTAAGACTGTCTTCTACTTTTTGGGACATGATCCTGTTCTTGATCAGTACAAAGTAGTTTGCACTGTTGTATTATCCTCAAAAAGATTTAAGAGGATAACCTCTGAGCATTGGGTCTTTGTCGTAGAGCCCGGGGGTTCCTGGAAAAGAATTGAGTTTGGTCAACCTCATCTTCCTACAAGACTAGGACTGTGCATCAACGGAGTTGTATATTATATGGCTTCCACTAGTAAGCGTGGCGATATTTGTCAAAACCTTGTTTAGTGTAAAAGGTTTTCTCGCTTTATTAAGATGTGTAGGCTTTGCCTTATATACACGATTACAAATAACCTAAAATATGTAAAGATACTTTACTAAACTAGACAGCAAATATAACGTAATTATACAATACATCCCTCGCCAATATCCCCCCTCAAGGTGGAGTATGCAGGTCCCAAATACCCAGCTTGCCTAGAAAACTATCAAACTCTTTGCGACCAAGAGCTTTGGTTAGGAGGTCGGCGAGCTGAACTTTAGTAGAAACGTATTGAGGAACAATGACACCCCGCACAATCTCATCCCGAATAAAATGACAATCGTTCTCAATATGCTTAGTTCGTTCATGAAAAACCGGATTTTTACTCAAGTGAATTGCAGCTTGATTATCACAGTGGAGAGGAATAGGAGCTGAGCAATCAACTCCAAGAGCAGTGAGTAACTCGCGCAACCATAAAATCTCAGAAACCGTATCAGCCATAGCTCGATACTCTGCTTCAGCGGAGGATCGAGAGACGACGTCTTGCTGCCGTGTTATCCACGAGATCGGAGAGCCACCAAGTTGAATAAACCAGGCTGTGAGAGATCGACGTGTCAACGGACAACCAGAATAATCAGAATCACACCACGCCGTAAGATGAAGATCAGAACCAGCCCGTAGTAGAATGCCCTGTCCCGGCCGACCTTTAAGATAACATACGACCCGAAGAGCAGCATCCCAATGTGCTTGCTTAGGAGCATGCATAAACTGAGACAAAACATGTATAGCATAGGACAATTCCGGCCTAGTGATACGAAGATAGATAAGTCGTCCAACCAAACGGCGATAACGAAATGGGTCTGGGAGTGTGTCACCAACAGCAGAGGCCAACTTGTGGTTTTGTTCAATCGGGTGAGACACCGGTTTAGCACCAAGTAAACCCGTATCCGCAATAATATCAAGAGTATATTTGCGTTGAGACAAATACATCCCGGAAGAATTACGAGCCACTTTAATGCCTAAAAAATACTTAGAGATACCAAGGTCCTTCATCTGAAAACATTTACCAAGATATTCTTTAAAATCGGCAATTACCTTCGAAGAGCTACCACAAATAATTAAATCGTCCACATAGACCAACACATGGAGGCGTGTGTCAAGATCAGCAAATGTGAACAAAGAGTAATCCTTTAAGCATTGTTGGAAACCATACTCTTTGAGGGAGTGTGAGAGTTTAGAAAACCAACACCTCGGAGCTTGACAAAGACCATATAAGGACTTGTGTAACCGACAAACCAGATTCTTATCATTAGTGCGAAACCCCGGAGGAAGACGAATAAACACCTCTTCAGTTAAATCACCATGGAGAAATGCGTTATGGACGTCCATTTGATGGACCTCCCAATCTCGAGCAACTGCAACTTCCAAAAATGATCGGACCGTAGTCATTTTACAAACTGGTGCAAACGTCTCCGTATAATCAATACCTTCGGTCTGGTTGTTACCAAGAACAACGAGACGAGCTTTGTAACGCTCTAGGGTGCCATCAGATTTGTATTTGAGTGTGAAAACCCATTTACACCCGAGAGCTTTCTTCCCCGGAGGCAATGTCTCGACAGTCCAAGTACCTTGCTCCTCAAGTGCATCAATTTCAACACGGACAGCCTCACGCCAATTGTCGTCTTCAGCAGCCTCTGCGAACGTACGAGGAATGACTCCAGCTGTAATTGCAGCCAAAAATGCCCGATGATGATCAGAAAACTGAGCACAATCAATGTATGAATCAATCGGATACCAACATGTGTCAACAAAATCACTATCGGATCCTACATGCGTCGTATTAGTCGCATAATCATGAAGACGAACATTAGGAAACTTCGATCTACATCCTTTCCCCATAGGAGCAGCTGGTTCAACTGTATCAGAAAAATCAATAGGGATAGGCTCCAACACAGAAGGCGTACATGGTGTTGGAGTAGAACTCGCCGGTGGCAGTTCCGACAACGATACCCGAGAAGAAGAGACACTTGACGGGAGAGGTGTCGTAATGTCAGCCGGAGGAGAAACAAGTAGCGGAGGTGTAATCGAAGGACGAGATACACGAGGAGGAGAACCATCATCAACCAATGGAGCTACTGTCGGCTGTATCACTTCATCAGAAAAAATATCAACAACGTCAGGATCATGAATCAGAGGAGGAACGGAGGACGTGGATGATGGTGATAGAGAACGTGAGGAAGTTGTAGCAAATGGAAACTCGGTTTCGATGAAGACAACATCACGAGAGATCGAGATTACCCCAGTTTCAAGATTATACACTTTCCACCCTTTTTTCCCAAAAGGATAACCAAGAAATATGGATCGATTACTTCTAGAAGCAAATTTATCTCCCCCATGACGTTGGTTATGTACATAACATAGACAACCAAAAATGCGTAAATGATTCATAGGAGGAGGGCGCTTATAGAGTATCCCAAATGGAGTCTTCCCACCTAAAACCTTTGTTGGAGTCCGGTTAATGAGATAACCAGCCGTAAGAACGCAAAAACTCCAAAATTCAATAGGTATATTAGCTTGAAAACGGACAGCCCGAGCAACGTTAAGAATATGACGATGCTTGCGTTCCACACGGCCATTCTGTTGTGGAGTTCCCACACAAGAAGTCTCATGTAGAATGCCTTTTTGTCGAAAAAATCCACCAAGACTCATAAATTCAGACCCATTATCACTCCGAATTGTCTTCACTTGTGTTTCAAATTGACGCTCAACAAGCGAAATGAAATCACGAAGAGTAGTCGCAGTTTCAGATTTATTTGGCAATAAGAAAATCCACACCGCACGTGAATAATCATCAACAATAGTGAGAAAAAATCTTGATCCACAAATAGCCGTAGTCCGGTAGGGACCCCATAGATCACAGTGAACTAGCTCAAAAACCGCAGAAGTTTTATTAGTACTCAAAGGAAAGGAATCACGTGTTTGTTTTGAACGAATACAAACGTCACATGTCTTGGAATCAAAATCACTACTACTACAAGAATTCGATAAATCCAACATATCCATCGCCGTAGAAGAAGGATGTCCAAGCCGCCGGTGCCACACGTCTTGAGGTTGCTTGTCCAAAACTTGTGTTACCGCTGCGGAAGCCATCCCTCGAAAAAAATATAGTCCATTCTGCTGCTCACCGGCTCCAATCACCGTCTGTGTGATGCGGTCCTGAACAACACAAAGCTTATCAGATATCTGGAAGATGCATCCACAATCTCTGGTTAACTGCGAAACCGAGATGAGATGACATTGTAAACCAGCCACAAAAAACACGTTGAGTAACCGCAAATGAGACCCAAGTGACACCGTCCCTTGCTTTGTAGATATCGTAAACCGACCATCCGGTAATTTGATAAACATAGGAGCCATCTCACAAACATCCATGAGAAACTCTAAACTTCCTCTCATATGATTTGAGGCACCAGTATCAATTACCCAAGATTCAATAAAGAACTTACCGGAGAGGCGATCATTAGACATCGAGTTACGGACTCCAAGCATCTCTTTCAATTTTTTCCATTCCTGGTCACTCAAACTAGAAAACCCAACCCGATCAGCATCCGTAACCTCTGTATTTGCCACGTATGCTGGAGAGGAGGACTCAACATGATGAGCATGTGCATGCTCACCTCCCTTAACCGGAGCAGAAGACACACGACGATCAACACCTTGTTGTGATGAAGAAACGCCTTGTTGTGGAGGAGTAAGCTTCGTACGTGGTCTATCACCCCACCACCACGGATAACCAATCTTCCTAAAACAATTGTCAACTAAATGCCCTTTCCTTCCACAGCTCGTACATATCGCATTAGGATCACGAACTGGCGGTGACTGGTTTGAGCGAGGAGCAACACGGACAACAAAACTAGCTCCTTCATTACGTTCTTCAAGCAACCGACCAGCACGTTTTAACTCCTCCTCTTGAGAGACCACTTGATACGCTTCATCAAGAGATGGAAGAGGATCGCGAGAGAGAAGAGATGATTTTACAGCACCGAAAACACTCTCATCCAAACCCATAAGAAATTGATGTAACTTGTCTTCTTCACGTTCCTTTGCGATCTCTTCTGCTGTTTTTGCACGTTGAAAATCACCTAGACTTGTCCATAGTTTAGTGAGTTTCCCGTAATAAGCTTCTACCGCTGTACCCTTCTGTTGGCAATTTGCAAGCTCTGTTTTTAATCTTTGAACTCTTTGACCATTCTTCACGGCAAAACGTTTTTGTATATGCGTCCACAAATCATAAGCGACCTCATGATGCGAAAGAGAACTGCTTAGATCCGGAGCAACCGTGAGCTTGATCCAAGAGACCACCATAGCATTATTCGCCCACCAATCTTCTATATCTTCAGAATCATCTGCTGGTTTAGGGATTGAACCATCCGCAAAACCAAATTTCTTTCTTGCGCGTAACGCAAGCCGTATGTTAAGTGCCCACTCGTCATAGTTAGGACCTCGCAACTGTGGTTGTGAGATGACTGAGCCTGGATTATCTCCAGAAGAGAGATCATACGGATCAATCCGTCGACGTGTTGACTCAGTCCGTGTAGGTCGTTGTTTAGTAACGGAGGAACCATCTTCTTCTTCACCCGACATGTTCAAGAGAGTATCTCGATAAGAATAGATCGATGATACTAAGGTCAAGAGAAGGAGAGAAAATCAAAATATGGAGAGGACACAGAGGATCGTAGAACCTAAAAAATTAGGTTAAGCTCTGATACCATGTCAAAACCTTGTTTAGTGTAAAAGGTTTTCTCGCTTTATTAAGATGTGTAGGCTTTGCCTTATATACACGATTACAAATAACCTAAAATATGTAAAGATACTTTACTAAACTAGACAGCAAATATAACGTAATTATACAATACATCCCTCGCCAATAATATTGTTGTTAGTTTTGACGTCATGTCTGAAGAGTTCAATATGATCCAAGCACCTCCGGAGGTGTCTTCATATGGTAAGTTTGTAGGATTTATAGAGTATGGTGGAAAACCAGCTGTTTTTGATTATACCAATATGAGACAAACAAATTTGGTGGACTTATGGGTCTTGGAAGTTGGTGGAGAATGGTCGAGAACATCTCTGTTTTTGAAGCCTTGTCAGTTGCATTTAGTCGATAACGACATTGATTTGTCGGTAGAAGGTACAACTCAAGACGGCGAGGTAATCTTGGCACCAATACCATTGATTTCCCCTTATTACATTATTTTTTATGATCTACAAAAGAATGATATGAGCAAGGTTTGGATTAGAGGAATACCGGAGCACTGGTTTAGTAAGAATGATAGCAACTTACGTTTCTTTTTCAAGCTTATGGATAAGAGTGGTGAAAGCATACTGCACTTGGAAACTTGAATGCCATTATTACTGTATGGTTTTGTTTTGTTTTCCTTCCAGTTTAACAACATTTAATTATTGTTAACTTCAATAGTAGTGTGTAATACAGTGGAACTATATATTTCATAATTTTATTTACTTATGCTACCAGTACCAGAAAAAGAACCAATCGTTGATATATGCTTTTATTGTAAACTTGTCGAAGATAGATTAATTTATTACTCATCCCATTCTTATATGTATATATATATATATATATATATATGATTTTTTAAGGATTGTGCATACATATTAAAGAATAATTTAGTATCGTTTATATGTAAACTAAAACATCATTTAATAGCTACTTTGACATAATTCAACCAATAAGAAAACAATATGCAAAATATAAATTGTTTAAATTAATAAAATTCTAATAGGTTTGCATAGATTTGTGAGTTTTTTTTTTTTATAACTGTAAAAAAGCATTTATATAAAAACGGATGGAGTACTAAAAAGCTACAATATGAACTCTCAAAATTGAGTACCTAAAAGCTATCCAAATTGAGTTCTATATACTACTGTAAAAACTACAGTATGATTAAAAAAAAAAAAACAGAATTGTTAACCAATATAATGAATCCTATATTGCCACATTGTTTACTCGACATGATGAACATCTAATATACGCGTACCATTATAATGGTTTATTAGACAAAAGCTCTATTTGTTGATATTTCTTAGTTTATAAGCCCATAATATTTTTATGATAACAGTATAAAAACTGTATGTGAAATCATTTTTGTTTAAGGTTCAATAATCAATATTCAATATTATTTCCCTAGGTAAAATTAAGGGATTTTTGTTAAAAAAAATTAGAAGGACCGGTCTCGCAACCACATCATAGACCAATTTCTAAATGATTGTTTTGTATGTTATACTGAAAAATAGTTGCTTAATTCTGTCACTAATGAAAAAATGATAAAAAGATTTCAGTATATGAATGAGCGCAGAGTAAACAATAATTAAAGTTTTTGTTACGAATATTTTTTTATTAAATAATTTTTTGCACCCGCCATTGGATTCACATAATGTGGTCATACATCATCATGAAATATGTTATAACACGCAGTCACGCACTATCAAATGAAAATGGTATATAATGTTATGCTAAGGTGTTGTTTGCTTCTTAATAGTAACTTTTTAGGTACAAAAACGGAATGGAATGATCTCGCTAACAACAACGTCGCATCTTCTGAGTGTATGTGTAAGATCATAAATTGTTGCTTCATGCAACATTATAAACAGCAAATCACTAATTTTATACTACATTATAAAATGTGACATGATACAAAAATGCCATTTAAATACAACCATTGAAGTTTCATGCAACATTTACTTGTACAATTTTACACAATTTTTTTTAAACCTTTTACCAAAAATCCACTACAAGAGGTTAACTTAACCTTTTACCAAAAAAAAAAAAACAAAAATATTAGAAATTATGCAGTTATGCTAATTAATTTTCTTAAATAGCCCAACTAATAAGTAATGGGCCTTGGCCTTTTCGGGTTGGCCCCATCGACTCAACAATTTTATTTTTATACAGCATTTGTTTCTAATTTTCAATTCATTTTGAAATTGAAAATCGAAAATGAGGAGAAAGCTGTTTTTGGCGCTGAAGCTCAAGCTGAAACCATGGAAGAAATCTGGAAAAGAGCGCGGTATTTTGCAGATCTACATCTCTCTTGCCTTCGATTCTTCGATTTTCTTAGGGAATCTGAGGTTTCAAAGTCAGTTTTGCGATTCTTACGGACTCGATTTCGCTTTTTGTGTGTTTCTTCACTAGAATCGACTGTGAGCAACAATGTCGTCTCTCAAATCGCTTCATATGAGAAGAAACTCGCTGCTTCTGAAACAATCCCGAAAGGTATCTTCGATTCTTTGATTTTGTTATGGAAACTGAGATTTCAATTTCACTCTTCGGTCCTTATGGGTTTCGATTTGTTGTTTGTGTGTTTCTGGTATAGAATCGGCTGTGAGTACCAGTATTGCTTCTGAAATCGCTTCACCTGAGAATAACCTTACTGATTCCGAATCAATCCTTGGCAAAGGTATCTCGCGGATCTGTAGTTATGGAACCTCCGATTTCGATTTCAGTCTACGATTCTTCCGATTATCGTCGTTGTGTTTCTTGTACAGAATCGTCTTCTGAAGTCCCTTCATCTGAGGATAGTATTACTGAGAACGATGTGTTGATCGATGTGTGTGTTGCAGATCTTTAACTATTATGTCTTCGATTCTTTGATTTTATCATGGAAACTGAATTTCAACTGCAGTCTAAGGTTCTTATGGTTTTCGATTATATTGTTGTGCAGAATCGTCTTCTGAAGTAGCTTCATCTAAGAATGATCCCATCGTTTCCAAATCCACCACAAACTGTATGTCAGAGATTAATATTATGTTCTGTGATTTTAATTTCATCATCAGATTAGCTTCTTCTTTGATTTGCTTCGTCTTGTTGATAACCTTAATCATGTCCTGTTTAATTGATAGTTGATTTCTTTAGAAACTTTTGTGATCTTCTCCTAGCTTAATCTCGAATTCGTTATCTATCTTCTTCACTTTTAGCTTCTGATTCTGTTGACATTCTGCAATCGCATATTGTTGAGCAGTATCTAACTCTGTTTCTGTGTGGGATTTAAAAATAGCTTATGATTATATGCGGATACATACTTTTTGCAAGGGGATTATCATTTCCATTGTTCTAATTTGCTCTTTGCTAATTCTTTAACACCTTTGCTTCAGAACTGAGCTTAGGATTAGTTTGATGCTGGCATGTTTTACTGTTTTTCCAGTTGTTATTAGTTATCTGTATCTCCTAATTGCACTGATCTTCTCATTTTCATTATTAATCAGTTCGTGCATCTCTCTGGCCCTCTGATTCCCAGATAGTACATGTCAATGAGAAACACGACAGTACATATTGAATTTGGTCCTTCTTCTTAAATTTACCTCCGTGATTGATATGTTGGATTTTGATTTTCTTTCCTGTGTTTTGTTTTTTTTTTGTTGTTGTTGTGACAGGTCTGACTGTCATCAGACATCATTTGATCAGAGATCTCCCACGCTCTGTTCAACGTTCTCCCGTTGTGCCAGACGCTAAGCCTCCACTTAGCCGGTCTGCAAGGAAAAAGCTCAATAAAGGTCCTGGGAGCATGAGCCTCACTGCAGCACAGAAACGGAAGTTTGGTCATAGGAAGGGTAAGAAGAAGTACGATCGGGAGCGTGATGACTTCTAAACTCAGCCAGCAAACACAGGGATTTACTTTGCAGTGAGCTCAACAAGGATTTGTAAACTCTCATTAAATCCCGTGATTGAGCAATACACTTGTTTTGGTTTGTGATTTGGATTTAGTTTACCATGGAAAACAGGGATTTACTTGTGGGATTTCTGCTTTTGGATTTGTGATTTGGATCGAATCTCAGCAATATTTCCTTGACTCCTTCTCTCTCAAATATTTTAGTATAGCAATTGTCAAGCCTCATCACTTCATAATGAGCAAGTTGGTATGTTCATTGGCATCCTTGCTTCACGAATTCCTCACAGCAACATAAACTCGTTAAATCTTTCAAAGTAGTGGCTAGGTTTTTTGCTGCACAGGTAAACTTAAACTAGTAAACAATTGATCTGATCCTGGTTTGGTCTTGCTCTTCTAGGTTAGAGTTAAGAGCTTTTAAATCTACGAATATTAATTCTCAATCTAAACTTAGGTGTTTATCTTGCCATCACTCGCGGAAGGAAGGGAATGTGAATCTAAAGAAGGAAGCTGAATTCTTTTGTGACATTGTCATTGTCCCTTTCATGGACAATTATGATCTTGTTTTCCTCAAAACTGTTATGACCGGTTCTCTTGCGTAAAATTGGATTATGGTGCATGAGTTCAGGTATTTGATCAGTGTTGGTGTGAAGATCAGAATCGTCCCAGCAATTCTCAAGACTCAAAACTTGAAGATTATAAGTGTGCATCTTCTGCAAATCACAAAGTGAAAACTTTGATGCTTTTGGATGTTGTTCTGATTGCTATATCAGTGTGATGGCTGGTTGGAAATCAGCTAAGGTTTGGTAGTCAGATGAGAAAATTGCTGGTAAGGTTCAAAGATGATCAAACGAGGAGTCTGCTTAGACCCGGTAAGCTAATGACCCGGTAACATATCCATCCATCATCAGACTTCATGCTTCCAGTTACATGTGTTTGACTTCTTGAAAAAATCATTAGATCAGCCCAAACTGAAAACTAGTATTCCTTCTTTAATATTTCTGAAGCAATTGCGACTAATCCCAAGGCCCAATTATTGGTAGCCCAAACAGTTGGCTACTTATCCTTAGATTAGAGTAAAATCAAACGGCGCCGTTTGAGAGTGTATGAAAGAAGAGATCCCAGTTTGACAAAGATCTTGAAAACCTAGAATCGTGACTCTGTTTTGTCTCTCTTATTCAGATCTCAGAAAGAGCATTCTTTTATATTACTCTTTCCTTAGAAAAATTATGTTTTTATCAAAATTTCCTGCTCTTATATGATTAAAAAAGTAAGGAGTTTAATATAAAAGTATTGGGGGCGCTTGTGAAATTAGTAGCTATGGTTATGTCTCTAGCTCTGATTTCATCTTGTCAATGGAAGAAAAAGTCGTCAAAAGCAATGAGAAGAAGAAGAGGGGGCGCACCGGAGATTCACTTGGATCTGCTGATCGAGATTCTGACTAGATTGCCTGGTAGATCGCTGATGAGGTTCAAGTGCGTTTCAAAGCTCTGGTTTTCACTTATCCGTTCTCGATGTTTTAGCAACCATTATCTTACGGTCGCATCCCCACCGCGACCACCTCGTCGTCTATACATGAGTTTGGTGGACCACCTCGAGTGTAATTCAATGGCGGTCTGCTATAACCCTCGCGAGTCTGCACTGCTATTGTTCACATCTTCTTCGTCTAGTAGTAATAATGCTACATCGTTCGACCAGGATTTGACATTGCCAGGGATGGGAGGACGTAATATGAAGCTTCTTCGCGGCTTGATTCTATACATTGTTTGCAGAAGAGCGTGTATCTATAATCCTACGACTAGACAAAGTGTAACCTTACCGGCAGTCAAATCCAACATTTTTGCTCAAGAAGACTATCGTAAGAGTGTCCTCTACTTTTTCGGACACGATCCTGTTCTTGATCAATACAAAGTAGTCTGCATCATTGTGGTATCCTCCAAAAAAATCAAGAGGATAACCTCAGAGCATTGGGTCTTCGTACTAGAACCCGGAGGTTCCTGGAAACGAATTGAGCTCGATCAACCTCATATTCCTACAAGACTAGGGCTGTGCATCAATGGAGTCATATATTATTTGGCTTCCACTTGTATGTCTGACGATATCATTGTCAGTTTTGACGTAAGGTCTGAAGAGTTCAAAATGATCCAAGGTCCTCCTCTGGTGTCTGCATTTAAGCCCATTGATTTTATAGAGTATGGTGGAAAACCATCTGTTTTTGATCATACCCGTCTTAGACGCAAAGGTTTGGTGGAGTTGTGGGTCTTGGAAGACGCTGGAGAATGGTCGAGGAAATCTCTGGTTTTACAGCCTTGTCAGATGCATTTAGTCAATAAGTACACTAAATGGAAGGTTAAAGGTACTACTCATAACGGCGAGATTATCTTTGCACCCTTATTGTTGTGTTCCCCTTATTACATTCTCTTATATGATGTGCAAAAAAATGATTTGAGAAAGGTTCGAATCAGAGGAATACCGAAACACTGGTTTCGTAAGCCTGACACTAACTTATTTTTTTATTTCGAGTTTATGGATGACAGTGAAAGCATTATGCACTTGGAAATTTGAATTTCTGCTTCTTAGCTATAAAATTATGAACATGTAATTGTTCTTACCTTACAATAATTCAACCAAACTATCTCTTTCGTAATTTTATTTTCCCTTTGTTACAAAAATAACAATTGTTATATACTTGTTCTTCTTTCCTGTTAAGCCAAATCATTTCTGAATAAGAGGTTCTGCCGAAGCAGAATCAAAGAATTATATATATCATAACCATGAATGATGCTCGAGCAACAATAATGGAAGCAACAATGACACTTGGCTTTTTAAGTTAACTCTGGTAGAATTGAAATTTTCAGTTGATTTGCTGCATTATACAAGAACGTTATCTAAAATAAAAGTGGCTTTCTTCACTTTGTGATGGAACCGTGCGGGGAACATTGTTTCGCATTTGAAACTGTGAATTATCCATGATCCTTTTAATCGTCTCTAATTCTATTTCGAAGAATGAGATTGAGAATGAAGATATTAATTCTTTTTTTCGTTTTTTAGTTGAGGCTATGAAAAATGAATGTGTTTCTCTCATTAAGTTGATAGATCAAGCTCATTGATTAAGTCTAATTTATGATCTACAATCTCATTTCATTTTTACCATCGCAAGAATGTGATCTATTCTAAGCAGAAGTTTCTTTGCAGCTGGTTTAGTAGTTTATTTTTAGCCGACCATAGCAACTTAGTCTATGAAGATTTATGTTGGAAACTATGTGTCCGTGTGATTTCCCCTTATTACATTATTTGTTATGATTTACACAAGAATGATATGAGAAAGGTTTGGATTAGAGGAATACAGGAACACTAGTTTACTAAGCTTGATACCAACTTATATTTATTTTTCATTCTTATGGATAAGAGTGAAAACATACTCCACTTGGAAACTTGAATGCCAATATTTTTCAAGTTTATGGATTAGAGTGAAAGCATAATGGACTTGGAAACTTGAATGCTATGATTTTTTTTTTTTTTTATTTTTTTTTTATTTTTTTTTTTTTGAATGCTATGATTGTTTTCTTTCCTTTTAACTAGATTATCAACATTCAGTTTGTTGTTAACTTCAATAATAGTGTGTCATGTAATACAATGGAACTATTTGTTTTACTTGCGTTACCAGCAAATGATTGGAACTATTTGTTTCATAATTTTGTTGAATTGGTCGGCCAAATGAAATATCAACCAACACAACGATTGTTCCTGAGAAATTGATCACATTGCGACAGAACAAAAGAAAAAAACTCATATATCAGAATTTAGAAATCAATACATTCGGAAGTATCATAATGCTTAATTAATTGTTTAGTTTTCTGGAACAAAATTTAAAGAGACATTCTTCATTTTTAGCATACTTGATGGTTTATTATATATGATCTCTTCTAATATAAGCAATCAGAAAATAGTTTTTGAACAATATCCATAAGAATTGTTACAAAACAAAGGTTGAAACAATCATTGTACTAATCTAATTACACAGTTAAAAACATCAACAACAACGACAATAACAAAAACACAGAAAAACAGAGCTTTCTTGCGGAAGAAGGTAAAGACTGAGGAGGAGAAGCAGCATCAGGGCTCTGTTTTCCGGCAGAAGCGGTCGTGTTTTCTTTGGAGCAAGCTAAGTTACAACGACTAGGACGAACCATTCGGTATACACCAGAGCTCGTGAGCAAATGTATGTCTTTGTTATTGTCTTGTCCAAAAGAGTAGATGTAACCAAGAGCAGGTCCTGAGCTAGCTCCTCCTGGAGCAGCGGTACATTTCATAGGCGAATCCTTGCTGCAACTAAACGGTATTAGAGAGTCCGTGAAGTTTCCACTATCTTGTGGTGATTCGATAGCTGCCCACATTGCGTTTGCATAAAGATCTGCATACAAGTACCTGAAACAAAAGGGTTTGAGGATTTAATGTTTTAGGTATTTGGATTTTGGGTTATATTTATATGGTTTAGTTTTTGACTTACGTTCCATAAGAGCAAGGATCAGTGTTGGATCGATAGAAGTAACCTCCGATAATGGAAGCTGATCCTTCATGCTTGTTCACTTCAGAGTGGTTATAACCGAGAATTGGGAATGTCAGGTTTGAATCCGTGGAAACATTTTCTCCGAAAGGCGATAACGGTGAGAAAACGTAAGGTCCTTCGTAAGTTCTCCAGCCATAGTTTCCACCCATTGTTATGATATCAACTTCTTCATATGTATCCTGTTACATAGCAATAACTTCATTAGACACTCTGCATCATCACAGAGTTGGATGCTTGAACTGTAAGGAAAAGACAAACCTTTCCGACATCCGCGCACAAGAAGTAATCTGGTCTTTCGGAATCGAAGCTGCAACGCCATGGATTTCGTAGCCCTAAAGCCCAAATCTCAGGCTGCTCGTTTTCATTTCCTTGGAAAGGATTGTTCTTAGGGATAGAGTAGTTACCCCATAAACCAAGCTTAGTGATATCAGATACGCCTGCAGAGTATTATCAAACAAAAATACGTGTTAAAACACCAAACTAAAACTCCCAACATGCAGTGCTTTTGGTGATCGATATCGTCACTTAACTTGGCATAACATCAATATCAAGCCTCAGGATTTTGCCAAGCAACGACTTCTTGTTCTGTGCAAAGTTGTGAGTATCTGAAACGCCTCCTCCGTCACCAGTCATGAGATACAAATACCCGTCAGGTCCAAAGAGAATCTGACCACCGTGAGATGAAGAATACGGAAGTCCCATAGTGAAAATTCTCCTCACTTCAGAGGCTTTACCAATCTTTGCCTACACAGTTATAAAAGCAACAATCTCTTTTAGATTCTTGATATCCAAGAAACTGAGGTTTTTGTTTTGGTTTGGTTTAGAAACTTACCGTTGAAGGGCTCGAGGAAGTACCGTTTGCGGTATACTCAGCCACAACGGTCTGAAAACGACAAGGCTGAGCACCATCGTCTTTAGGGAGCTTAGAAGGATCACAATTCACATCAGAATTGCAAGCACAACGACCAGAGCATCCAGGAGATTTGACTTTATCGCAGTTAAAAGACGCAAAAAACCGCCCGTTGTCTGCGAATTTAGGATGAAACGCCATTCCCATCATACCAAACTGCGTATCGAAACTGACTTGATCGGTTATGTCAACAAAAGGAGTCGATTCGTCGATTTCCATCGGTTTACCAGAGTCTTGATCCGGTATTGTTCCTAACCAGATCTTACCAGGTTGGTTAGAGAAAAAAGCCCGGTTGGAACCATCGGGATGAGCCACCATGTTTAGGTAAGACCCGGTTCCTATCTTCTCAAGACATATTCCTTTAGGTGGCTTCTTTACATCATCCTCATCACCACCACCGGTGCCTTTGTTAACCGGTTTACCATTGAAGCATTTGGTTATGTTGTTGTTGGTCTGAGATGGTCCACCAAAGGCGGTACAGAACTCGGTTTGGGATTTCCATAGATCGGTTAATGTCGATGAGTTGGAGGAAGGTGAAGGCGAAGTGGCACCACCTAGTAGAGTGGGACTAAAGGGAGAAGAGACTATGGAGATGTTCTGACATGAATCCCATAGTTTTGAGCATAAGTCTTGTGAAGTTGAGTTGCAAAGAATTGGAATTTGAGAAGTATCATCACCATTGAATAGTTGTCCTGAGGACTGATCACATTTCTGAGGAAATCAAACAACAACAAACTCAAGAAATTCAGAATCATACTATTGCAAGCTAATGGGGGGTTTTGGATTTTGTTGATTTAATTGAGGGAACTGAAAGTGAATTAGTTTCTGGGTATGTTTGGGGATTTGAATTAGACTTACAGCACAGAGAATGGATTTGAGAAGGGAAGAACAGTTTGAGTCAGAGATGTTCATGGAGTTGAAGCGATTCTGCAATTGAAGATCATCTTTGGAAGTGCAGCAAGACCGTCCTGTGTAGGAATCGCAGAACTGAAGCGTCTCGTTGTTGTTGACTGGAGTCTCTGACAAAAAGACGAAAAAAAGACACTCATCATCAAAACGACATGAAGACAAGAAGACTTAAAACTCAAAACGACATGAAGACAAAGTACACTTACTTGAATCTGAGCAAAGGGGATGAGAAGTTGTTGCAGAGAGTAGGAGCAGAAGAAGGGAGGAACATATAGTGATGGCTTGATTCGTCTTTGCCATTATTGGAACTATGCCACAACAAAATTTTCTCTATCTCTCTCTCTCTCACTCACAAGGAGACTATATATGAGGACCATAGGGACATAGTTGTGTCTAAATACGAAATAGACGTTGAAAACTTTTTTTGTAAAATAATATTAAAGAAAGCTTATAAGAGAGATATGAATAAAATTCTTGGATAGGGTGAGACAGTTACGCTAATTTGTCTATCTCAAAAATTATTAAATTCGATTGGGATATATGAACTTGTCAACCCTCTCCTTCTCGAAGTTTGATTTTCGAAAAAGTTTCCAGTTCTTGTATTATTTTCTTTAAGAATAAAAAGAAATGTGTGAGACATTGTTTACTAACTTTATGGAAACTACAAGAACTCTCAAAACGTAAATATTTTCGTGTATGTAGAGGATGGAGTGTTTAAAACAACAATTAAGGCTTAGACATTTTGAGCATCTAGATATAGCCAATAGAGAACTTACATGTCGTGTATTCGTATTTAACTATAAAGTCTACATGTATGATCTAATTCTTCTTGGTTTTGATCAATGACAAGACTTAATCAAATAAAATCCGTCCCCTTACGTATGTTAACCATATTGGCATACTTTAGCATTACCTAACATGATGAAGATGAACAATTGGGTCAATTTCTACGTCCATGTGAACATTTTTACATCTTTTTACCTTTCAAGTTTATTAAAATAGGGTTATATTATTATCCTTTCTTGAAAAACTATTATCTTTTGTTAGGTTGCTTCGCATATCCCCTTTTCCCACACGCTTTTATAAAGTTTCGTTTATATAAAATGTCATAGAAGAGGCAACAATTCCTTTTTCTATGTTTCAAAAATCGCATGTCATCTCTATATAATATTCTAGACGTCCCAGTGATAATAATTCTCAGGAGTGCTTTTGGCTAAAATCGGATACATTGAGTAGTAGTTAGAGAAGTTTATAACCACCGAGGAGAAACACATTAAATTTTGTCTGCCGACTAAAACATCTCTACTAGTAAGGCTGAGGCATATTACAATAGATACAAACAATTTTTTTTTTGGGCAAAAGATACAAGCCCTTTTAAGAGCTTTTAAAAGTGAGATGATCAAACATGAAAAACAACCGAATAATTTGAACAACGCACTAGCTATAGCTACGACTATTATACTAAAGAATCCATCGTTAACTTATAAAGCTATAGGTCTAAATATCAAAGCGGGCCATGTCGTCGGAGCAGATTGAATCAAGGGCCACAAAACTTTAATTCTAATTCCAAGTCTCTCACTTGTTTCTGTTTTCTTCAAGATCTAGATGGGAGCAAACAAATATAAAAATGCAAATTAATGGCAACGCCTGCCAACTTGGATCTCCCTTGACGACATTTTTCTCTTAATTGCATCTCCTAGCTACTTCTCACTAACATTATATGTATATGAAAATTGAGTTTATTCAACGGCATGGACTTTTATTTCATTAATAAACCCCCATTGGACTTTTTGAAATAGTCCACTCGATCTTTATCATCAATGTATATGTTAATTAATTGGTGGCTTATGATGATATTCTAGAAGGTAAAAATGAGTTCTACTTGCTATCTAGACATTTCTAGAAATTACTTTAAAACTTGAACTGTGATGTGAGTTTTAATGTTGATCTATGTAATGAAATTACGTATCGGACTACAAAGCACTCATCAACCATGTTATTAGATAGGACAAACAAATGATACGAGTGGAATACATTTGTCCACGACGATACATGATGGGACAAACTGTATAATAAGAACAAGGATAAAGTTTGTTTTATAAAGGGTTGAGTTGAGACTCTCTAACTAAAACACTTGCCAAGGGTTTTCAAATTCATTTCTAAGTTTGTTGAGAAAAAAATCGTCACCACTTTGATTGATTAGATATTGATAGTTGCATCCATGTGGGATATGCACATAGTGACTCCTCTCGTTCGGCGGCCAAAGCAAAACAAGACTTTTATACAATAGTATATATTAAATAGTGTAATGCAGTCTCAATGCGAACGAATAAGAAAACATTTATGGTGTTAGGTGTTGAGATATAGACTACACGTAAAGCTTTAACCTAAAATCGTGAGGTTTATACATATATTCACACACTATTTATATACATCACTGTCGAACGCAGATGAGATTTTCCTTTTTTGACTAAAGGATACAAATTTTTAACTAAAGTTACATACACGAACTGGTGGACCATTTCCCTATTACCCACTTCCAAATTTTGTTTGTCTCTCATCTGAAAAGTCTTTGTTGACCTAGAAACAACTCTTACATCATCATGACATGATCATCCCCGATTTGTACATGTGTGTTTCAAGTACAAGTTTAGGTATTGTCTGACAATCTTAATTAACAATGGCAAAACAAAATCTATGAGTTTTTAGTATATCTATGGATAATTGGTTTCTTCTAAACCAAAAGATCTCGTAAATCTTCTTGCCGTAGTGACTAGGAAGTAGGTTACACTAATTTCCAATGGCAAAATTCTTACGACAAAATAACAAAGAAATCGAAACACATCGCACTAATATGTCCAATAATACCCTCCCAAAAGGGGAACTTGAATTCCATCAATTATTGGCCTTTTATATAGTCTCCAAATTATTGGTAAGAAATTTCAACAACATGCCCTCTAGATCTTGTTAATGCTATACCCTTTTTTACTCTAGAAATTGCTTTTCAACCATGTATTCTTCTAAACTCAAAAATAATATGAGTTATTTTTTTTCTTCTTCTTTGAGATTGGTAATTAAGACAAAACTGTTACCAGAGTTATGTTCATATAACAATCTTTACTTCTCCAAGGTCTTAATCCAACAACACCAAATTAACACTGTTTGAAGACAATAAGACCATAAGTTTATCCATCAAGCGCTCCAAGAGCTTTCATGTCTTCTAGGAAAGCTGTGTAAGAATCATCAATGCTAGGTGGCTTTGAAGCTGCAGATGTCTTGGCTGACTCTATCTTCACAGGTGCAGCAGAAGCCACCGCTCTTGGTGTAAAACCCAAGCTCGTGCCCGTCGAAGTCTTCGGCTTTGGTTTGGTCACAGCTACTGTTTCTCTTCTGACTCGAACTGACGCAGGGACCTGCACAACAACAACAACAACAGATAACATATTTGGGTTGATGCGGGGAATTTCAATGAGATATACCAAAAAGATATAGTGAATTAATGTAACTCACCATGGATGTAAGCTCAGGTGTGTGTTGAGCGAGTGGTCTCCTGACAACAGTAGGAGCAGCAGATTTCACATAAGATGGCTTGTTTGGTACATATGGTCTAATCATTGCTTGACTGTCTTGAAAACTAGACGGTGGTGGTCCTGGTGGAAGCGGCGGTCTCATCATAGGAGGCGGTCCAGGAGGTGGGCCATGCGGTAGCCTTGGGATCAGATGACCACCCAACATTCCAGGATGCGGAGGATGCATATCGAGTGGAGACGGTTGAGGTGGAAAACGCAACATTCCTGGAAGCAGATGAGCATCAGTTTGAAAATTAGTCAGTGGAGCAGCAGCTCCTGCAAATGTTGATTGATGTTGCTGATGTATAGGTGGTGGTGGCGGTGGTGCAACCATCTTAGAGAGGTTAGCATTTTGAAAACTACTCGCGTTAGATTCTGATGGGCCACTCTCAGATTCATTGCTTGGAGGACCTGACGGAAGGCCGGGTGGTGGGGGAGGAGGGACAGTAGTTATATCAGCATTCTGCACCATAAATATGAAAAAAACATAATCAAGTTTCAATCGTTATTCATCTGATACACGGAAACACATAAAACTGCACCAATTTAAGACAGCTATCAATAACAGAATGAGGTTTTACCTTGCCATTGTTCAAGGTTACATCTGATGATTCAGGGAATCTTCCATCACCTTCATTTCCAACTAGACCAGGAGGAGCAGGGGGAAGAGGAGGACGAACGAAATCCTGCTCTTTTGGTGGTGGCCCCGGAGGTGGTGGTGGGAATGGTGCATGTGGCAAAGTGAGGCCTGTAGTTGGTGGCAAAGGAGGTGGAGGTGGCAAAGAAGCTGATAAAGTATTATTCCCATCCGGTAGAGGAGGGAGTGGAGGAAGAGGAGGAGGAGCAACTAGGACTGAATCGTCTAACTCAGTAATAGAAGACAATGCAGCACCACTAGATGAAGCACCATCTGAGGAGATACTAGGCCCTGTAAAAACATTAAAAAATGTAAATCATTTTAAAGATTAAATAAAAGGACTGTTTTAATTTTCTGAAGCAGCATTAACCAAAGATATATATACCTATTGATGAATTATACATTGGTGGTTTTCCAGGGGGTGGTGCACCAGTCGGGTTCAAAGTAGGATGATAGTAAACAGAGTCCTGTCATAATATGCAGAAAAGTAAGGGAGGTTTTCGAAATCAATCAGAGGGGACAGAAAGAAAACAAACTAAGTACCTCTGGTTTTAAGTCCTCTTCGCCGGTTGTTCTTCGTTGAGGGGGTAGATGACTGCATAGAAGCACAAACATGTTATACATATATCTAATAGAAGGCCGATGACATCTTATCAATCAATAATTTTAGGGCAAAATGAAAGTAACACCGATAAAACAATTAATCACCTGAACATAACAGAGGCTGTGGCCTCACCTTGCTCCTTCTTTTTCTCATCATATTCCTGTAAGAACAATAGATACAAAAGAATAAGAAGACAAAAACAGCCAATAAGATGGGGGTGCCTGTGAGGCAAAGGAATAAAACCTAACTCTACTAGAGACATACCTTTCTCTTCTTCACCACCATCTTAAGAGTATCTTCAAGCTGTCTCTTTTTATGTTTTCTTGCTTTGTCCAAAGCACCTTCAGCTTCTACACCAATCAAAATATCAACTCTGTATTAGTTTGGTAGAGATGAAAAAATCTAATTTTTTCGGGCCGGGACACCCCGAGCAACTTGTAAGCTGAAGATAACTATGAAACCGGAAATATTAAATTTTAAGGTATAAGTTGTTTGCAGCTTAAATTATACACTCAGCAGTAACAATACAGAGCATATAAATGTGAGATTATACTAGAAGTAGCGCATAACTTACTTGACATATCAAGTTTCCTGATCTGTTCCTTGATTTGCTCAGGATCCTTCTTCAAAATTCCAACTTCTCTTACCTTCTGCCTCTCTTTCTTGTTCTGTAACCAAATATAATGTAAAGGGTAAGACATAACTATATAAGTAACAAACAGACACACACCAACAATATATGCTCACAGATAATGAGACAACAATTGAATAAGATGGTAAAAAAATCTCAATCTCTTCACTCTCTTAGCTACTGCAAAGCTATTGACCTAAACGAGTATGAGCATGCAAATGTCAGATTACCAAATTAATTTCTCTAATGCCTAAACAACAAAAAAAAAGAGAGTCTAATTTAGGATATAGATTTCTCCCACTTGAACAAATGTTAAAAATCACCAAAACAAGCTATAAACTCCACCAAAGAGTAATATATGAATCTAAGCGAAAACAGAAAACAAAGCAATTTAACCTGAATCTAAAACTCATAGAGCTACAAAAAAAAATTGATCCCATTTCGATTTCATCAATAAGCCAACCAAAAAAAGAAGAAGGGCAAACTCAGAATGGAGAAAGCAAAAACCCTTACACGTTTAATTTCTCTCTTGCGTTGCTCCTTGCGATAGGCATCAGTAGGGTTCATCACTTTCCCTCCCTTCGTCGTCTTCATATTTCCGTGAACCGTTCTTCAATCTCCCACCGATTTAGGATTTGCGAGGGTTTATCTGAGTTTCTCGCACAGACTAATTTGAATTTCGTATCCCACAAAACGAGATTGTATCTATTTCTCCTCCTTCGTTTCCTCGATCTATATCTACGACCACGAGGCTCGAAATCGACTACGCTATAACCAATCACAGTTTTGTTTGTTTCATTTATTAAGTTTATAGTTTGGTCCTTCATTGCAATTGAATATTGGGCCACTGATGGATCTTACTTTATACTGAAAAAGCCCATTATTAATCTCATCGGGTAATTTTTTATTTTTAATAGAAACAAAAAGGAATTTAGAAGAAACATTTTTTATTTTTGATAATAATACATGCCTAAAAGCATTATATGAGGTAACAACAAAATAGTAACTAGGCTTGCACAATTCATACAAAGTATATGCTATGACCTAGGATGTGTTTCGTTACTGGTCATCACCTCGACGTGACAACCGAGCAGAACCAGCTTTCGCCAAACCCGAATAGTAATCTCCAACGTTTGCAACAAACAGAGGATCTCTCTCTTCAATCTTTAGCGGGTCATAACGTTTCGAACCATGATCGTTCCCTTCATCAGATTGCTCCAAATCTTCTGTTAAATCTTCCATTGTTTTCTTCAGATTAGCCTTGCTCATCTGTGCTGCTTCTCCTGTTGATATCCCCACCATTGTTATCTTTGGTAAGAAAGGACTTTGCAGCATTTCTCTATCTCTAGATTCCATATCCCTGGAAACCGATAGAAATGCATGTTTTAAGATTATTACTCTCTTCAACAACGTGTTTGTTTGTCTTCAGATGTTTTGAGAACAATAAGTACCTTTGACCTGATGAGCCCTTCTGATGAGCCTGATCTTTTCTCGACACAGAGTGTTTAAGCCAATCTCCAAAAGGGAACCAGAGATTTTGCCGTCTTTTCTCGTCTTCCCTTGGACTATCACCTTCTTCTACTCTTAGCAGTGATGCGGAAGTATCTGTTTCTACTGAATCACTAAGACATCTAGCTGCTGACCCTGACGCTCTTTGGATAGATAATGCACTCCTGAGAGCAACATTAGAGGAAAAAATTAGCTACCTAATAAGTGAGACGAGGCATTTAAGATTTTTTTGTGTTGGTCTTTGTAAATCACATCAATTAGATTTGGTTGCACAGATTTATAGTAAAATTCTTAAATCTCAGTCCTCCTACAACTTAAACTAGAAAAGGTTTAGAAAAGATTTAAACCTTTTCCAGTTTGAGTACATACAGAACTGAAATTCTATGTCAAATATCCAAACTTCAAATTCTGCTGGAGCAAATTTCACAAGTTTTGCTTCTACTATGTAAATATAACGGTGTTAGAGACCAAATTGTTAGCACCTTTCAATAAAAAAGTTTAAAAATTATGGAAACATGCAAGAGCATACCTTCTTTCAAAAGAATCGACCAAATACGGCAACTTTGGCTGGATCCCTGTGGCTTTTCGAAACCATCTACTACCTAGAAGTACTCTGTCAACAGCATATAGGAGCTGAATCTCTGCAGCCTTTGCAACAACACTCAAAGGAATTCCGGAACTGCCAATCTCCTCCATGGCTTCTTGAACCTACAGCATCATTAACACGAGATTGAATACCAAAGGGTTTAGAAACTCTAATACCACCCAGAAAGAACACATAGTCATTATCAATATTTGTGTCTGCTAAAAACGATAAGCTCCATAAATAAATAAACATGATCTCTAGATGGAAAATCCCTACCCATAGGAACCCAGCAGGATCATAAGAGTAGCAACTGACAATTTTTACTTAGAATTTTTCATAAAAGGAATCAGTAGAGTTGGCAAAAATAAAAATCAATTGTGTACCTCTGGTGGCTCTAGCATGCTATCTCCCATCTCTTCCATAACCTCTGAAGTTAAGCTATCATCAACAACATCCCGTCGTCGTTGCACATGTCGAGTTTGTATTAAAGTATGGAAATGTTGATCGACGGACTCGTCAAGAATGTTATCTAGTACAGCTTTATCAAAGAAGTAAGGTGTATACCTGGTAAAGGTTAATAAAATTAGATACTAAAAACGATTCCAGGATTTTTCATATTCAAGAAACCATTTGCACAATTATCATATTAAACTGCAGCCAAATCTGCAAGAAAACTTTAAGGCCATGTGTTCAGATAGTAACACTTGGAGGGAGTTCATTACAAGGAATACCAAATTCACATTGTTTTGCATCAGTAAAAGCTCACCACTTAATCCCATCTGCAGTTGCAACAGCGATGTCCAAATTTTGAGCACCGAAAACAGGAACACCATCCACCTTTTGTTTTTTACCATTTTGTGGCATAGACTTGAGAAGTTTATTGGCAGCCTTCACCTGCGAATCAGAAACCCTTTAAGTTAGAAGTACGTCATTAATAAAGGGAGTAAAGAAATCCCCGAAATGCATTTCGCACTGACGTGATGTTACCTGCCTCTCATTTGGAACAAACTGAAATAAGTGAGGCTTCTCCTGAGAAAAATGAAACAAAATTTATTCATTCAAAACATACAATTCAGATGTAGACTATGTAGTATATAACAGCATATTAGTTGCAATAGCGGCTTACCTTGAAATGCTCATATGCCAAATCAAGTCGACAAGCCCCAACCACTCCGCTTGGAATATTTAGTTTTTTGACATATGAAACTGAGAAAATAAACATCACGTCAGGAAAAGATCCAAACCCAAAGTATTGCAAAAATTATGCAAAAAAGTAGACAACATAGTTTGGAGTTGTAAGCTCTAGAGGTCAAGGAATAATGGGGGAGGAAAAGATTAGATGCCTCCAGAATCTCCATTACCACACTCATTCAAATAATCAAATTATTACAGACTAATTCAGAACCAGAAAGATCTTAAAGAACAAAAAAGCAAGTCGCATCTAGACTTCGTAGCTGGAAACTGCTAAAAAAAAAAAGCTTACAAAGAGAAGTGTGAATGCACCTGCATCACCAAGATCCATGAAAAATCGGAAGACAGGGCCATTCCTCTCGCTCTTAGTGATAGTTGAAAACATTTTCTTTAGCCACTCAGGTGTTCTGTATATATAAGCAGAGAAACAAACGTGAGGTAAAAAAAAACACATAGAAAATTCTATAATGTCAAGAAAAAAGGAGAAATAAAGTGCAGATATGTTTAATCTCCTTGTCAAAATCAGAGCCAGTATTCCTCTACAGATTAGCCCCACAAGATGTAATGTAGCCTAAATCATCAACATGTTGAAACCACAGCTTCAATCTAAATTAACAATACATAGACCTAGAAAAATTGAGATAATAACTCTGAACCATGTGGTAAAGTAATAGAAGCTACAATCTAATTAGGCTCATGGAAACTAAATCGAACTTGAAATTCGAGAGTGAGAAACAAATGGATTAAGAAGAAGAGTGATAACAAACCTCTTGGAGATGAAAGGAATATCGAAGTGAGTAGAAACAGCCATAAGACCAGTGCCAGTAAGGTCACACATACTAAAGACCTGACCGACGAAGGCAGGTCCACCGCGTTTCCCATCGGAGCTGAGAGATGATATCCTAACCGTTGAATTAAGACCGGAGGATGACTTAGACGATTTGCTATTGACCGTCGATTCGAAAGGGGATGAGACATCGTCTGAGACCGAGAATTTAAGTGGGAGCCACACGCGAGACGGCGTCGTTTTAGGAGGGAAGAGAGGAACGATGGAAGAAGATATTGAGGTTACGGCGCTGTGGAGAAATTCGGCGGCGATGTGGCGGCGATGCTGCTTCTCCGGCGAACCCATTAACCTGACTGTTGGGTTCAGGACTCAGGAGCTCTCCTGCCTTGTGTGCGCAGAAGCCAGAAGATGACTTTAAAAAAACACTCAAAATTTAATCCGAATTTTCTTCTTAATAATCCGAAAATGTTCTAGCATTCCCGTGTTCTAATGTTCAATTAGTAATTTAAAAATCGTCCCAATATGTATTAATATAAGCAGGGGGACCAAAAAAGCAAATGGGTATAAGTAAACCCATTAATTAAGTTCCGTGAATGGGTTTTTAATCCAAAAGGCCACTTTAAATAGGCCCATCAAGCAACTTAATTATTATCCAGGACATCATCATTCAATAACGTAAGTTTTCTTTCTTAAAGCCCAAATATATATATATATATATCCATGTTTTGAAAAAGGTAGCAAAACCACGTCTTCTCAAATACAAAATACAAGATAGCTCATAATATATATATATTTTTTTTTTAGCCAGCTCATAATTTGTTACTCCCCCCATAACCAAAAGCAGGAATATTACATTTTTTCCTACCTATATAAAGTATTTTCCTAAGCAAATTTAACCTCTAATATACTCCTAAAACAATACATTGATGTAATGTTTTGATTATTAAAATAACACGATGATAAGCAATCGATAAAAGCTAAAAGTAAATATATATATTTGAAAGGTGACTTTACTTTGATGATATATATACATATGATTATGAACCATCATCTTCTATAGTCTAGTCAAATTTCCATTATCCAAAGAGGAATTTCAAAACTTTGTCCAAAAAAAAAAAGAAAAAGAAGAATTTCAAAACTTTGTCCAAAAAAAAAGAAAAAGAAGAATTAAAAAAAAAAAAAAACTCAAAACTCAAAAGGCTTCAAATTATCAAATCAAACTCCAATTAATAATACCTAATGAAGTGGGAAAAAAATAAAAAAAGTAGTATCGAACGAACTTACGGACGGGTACCGTACGGAACATGGTACCTTGTTTTTAAAACAGAAAATAAAATTAAAAAATCACAACTTTATGATTTATGGAAAAAGAAATTAAAAAGGAGAGAGAGAAAAAGGTCTGCAGTCACGTGGGTTGTGTTTCGGCGTGTGTTGTAAATTGTGAACTGTGTTTTTTTGTTTTCCATGGACACGTGTCAATTTTCTCAAGCTTATTTTAGCATCAGCTCTCTCTTCTTCGCATATGCCCACCACCACCATATTTTTTTTTTTATGCACATGGCTTTTATTTCCAATGTAAATGTAATGTTACCAGTAAGTAAGTATTTAATTCTTACGAGAAATCCCCAACGGTCATCGACGCCTACACCAAAAATGCAAACTTTAATTACTACTGTATTAGTGACGGCAACCTCACCTTT